TCTTCTTCATATAGTCCAGTTTCTCAGATTATTTGCTCATCATACAGATTGAATAGGTATGGGGAAAGGATACAACCCTGACCCACACTTTTCCTGACTTTAAACCACACAATATCCCCTTGTTCTGTCCGAATGACTGCCTTTTGGTCTAAGTACATGTCATGTTCCTCTTGAGCACAATGAAGTGTTCTGGAATTCCCACTCTTCGCAATGTTATCAGTAGTTTGTTATGATCCACACAGTCGAATGCCTTTGCATAGTTAATAAAACACAGGTAAACATCCTTCGGTTTTAGCGAAGATCTATCTGAATCAGTAATGATATCTCTCATTCCATATGCTTTTCTGAATCCAGCTTGAATTTCTGGCAGTACCCTGTTGATAAACTGCGGCAGCCACTTTTGAATGATCTTCAGCAAAATTTTACTTGTGTATGATATTAATGATATTGTTCGACAATTTCCAAATTCTGTTGGATCACCTTTCTTTGGAATAGGTACAAATATGGATCTCTTCCAGTCAGTTGGCCAGATAGCTGTCTTCTAAATTTCTTTGCATAGATGAGTGAGCACCTCCAGTGCTGCATCGTTTTGTTGAAACATTTCAGTTGGTATTCTGTCAGTTCCTGGAGACTAGTTATTCGTCAATGCCTCCAGAGCATCTTAGACTTTTTCCTTCAGTACCATCAGTTCTTGATCACATGCTACTTCCTGAAATGGTTGAATGTTGACCAATTCTTTCTGGTACAGTGACTCTGTGTATTTCTTCCATCTGCTTTTGATGCTTCCTGTGTCATTCAATACTTTGCCCATAGACTCCTTCAAAATTGCAACTTGAAGCTTGAATTTTTTCTTCAGTTCTTTCAGCTTGAGAAATGCTGAGCATGTTCTTCCTTTTTGGTTTTCTAACTCCAGGTCTTTGCACATTTCATTGTAATACTTTACTTTGTCTTCTAGAGCTGCCTTTGAAATCTGCTGTTCAGCTCTTTTACTTCATCATTTCTTTCATTCGCTTTAGCTACTCTACGTTCAAGAGCAAGTTTCAGAGTATCTTTTGACATTCATTTTGGTCTTTTCTTTCTTGCTTGTCTTTAATCACCTTTTGCTTTCTTCAAGTATGATGTCCTTGATGTCTTCCCACAACTCTTCTGCTCTTCTGTCATTAGTGTTCAATGCATCAAATCTATTCTTGAGATGGTCTTCAAAGTCAGGTAGGATATACTCAAGGTTGTCCTTTGGCTTTAATGTACTTGTTTTAAATTTTTTCAGCTTCAACTTGAACTTGCCTATGAGCAATTGATAGTCTGGTCCATAGTTGGCCCCTGGCCTTGTTCTGACAGATGATATCGAGCTTTTCCATTGTCTCTTTCCACAAATATAGTCAATTTTGTTCCTGTGTTATCCATCTGCTGAGGACCATGGGTAGAGTCGCCATTTATGTTGTTGAGAAAAGGTATTTACAATGAATAAGTCATTGGCAAAATTCTGTTGTCTCTGGAGTCATTTCTATCACCAAGGCCATATTTTTCAACTATCGATCCTTCTTCTTTGTTTCCAACTTTCACTTTCCAATCACCAGTAATTCTCAATGCATCTTGATTGCATGTTTTATCAATTTTAGACTGCAAAAGTTGGTAAAAATCTTCAATTTCCTCATCTTTGGCATTAGTGGCTGGTGAGTAAATTTGAATAATAGTCATATTAACTGGTCTTCATTGTAGGCATAAGGATGTTATGTTATCACCGATAGGGTTGTACTTCAGGATAGATCTGGAAATGCTCTTTTCGACAGTGAGTGCAACGCCGTTTCTCTTCAGTTTGCCGTTCCTGGCATAGTAGACCATATGATTGATTCAAAATGGCCAATACCAGTCCGTTTCAGCTCACTAATACCTAGGATATAGATCTTTATGTGTTTCATTTCATTTTTGACTATTTTCCTAGATTCATACTTTGTACATTCCACGTTCCTATTATTAATAGATGCCTGTAGCTGTTTCTTCTCACTTTGAGTAGTGCCAAGCCAACAAATGAAGGAGGGGTGAGGCAAAGGTCTGAAAGTCAAAGTTGTCAGTCCCAGCCTCATTCCGTGCTCCTCTGACCCAGGAGGTGAAAGACAATCTTTATGTCTTTAAGGGATGGAACCTGCACTTTCTTAACCTTGGAGAGGTGCCACCATGGACTTCCCTCACGCCAGGATCTGGCTCCTGCTTTGCTATGTGATCTGGGACTGATGTCGGGTGTTTTTTCCAGCCCCAGCAATTACTGATCAACACCCGTGGAAGCAGCAGTCAAGAAATAAAAAGACGTATTGCATTGGGCACATCTTCTGCAAAAGACCTGTTTTAAAGTATTTAAAAGCAAAGATGTCACCTTGAAGACTAAGGTGCACCTGCCCCAAGCCATGACGTTTTCAATCGCATCATATGAATACCACAACTGGACAATTAATAAGGAAGATCAATGGAGAATTGGCACCTTTGAATTGTGGTGTTGGTGAAGAATATTGAATATACCATGGACTGCCAAAATAAGGAACAGATCTGTCTTGGAAGAAATACAGCCAGAATGCTCCTTAGGAGAAAGGATGGTGAGATTACATCTCACATACTTTGGACATGTTATCAGGAGAGATCATTCCCCAGAGAAGAACATCATGCTTGGTAAAGTAGCGGGTCAGCAAAAAAGAGGAAGACCTCCAATGAGATGTATTGACCCAGTGGCTGCAACAATGGGCTCAAGCATAACAATGATTGTGAGGATGGTGCAGGATGGGGCAGTGGTTCGTTCTGTTGTACACAGGGTTGATATGAGTGGGAACCATTCCGATGGTACCTAACAACAACACCAACAACAAGCTAAATTCGTGATATAGTAATATAATATATGTTCTTCCTCATAACCATACTATATAACAAGATCTAGTTGTGGGTCCATTACAAAAAAAAAAAAAGGGTTGCCCTTGGCAAGACTGACTCACGGCAGCCCCATGTGTGTCAGAGTAGAGCTGTGCTCCATAAGGTTTTCAGTGGTTGATTTTTCAGAAGAAGATAACCAGGCCTTTCTTCTGAGGTACCTCTGGGTGAACTTGAACCTCCAATCTTTCAGTCAGCAGCTGAGTGTTTCAACTGTTTGCACCACCCTGGGACTCCTCAGGACTTACTAGGACTCTGAAAGTGGGCATTTAAGAGAAATTGTCTAAAATATCCTTCAACTGCTCAAAATAAGGTGAACTGGGAAAGACATTGACCTGAATAGTCTTGAGATGCACACCCAGTCATGTCCCTGCTTTTTCTAAATGCCCTCCAGGGCCTCCCATTGCCCTCAGGACATAGTCCAGACTCACCAGATCCTCAAAGTCTGGCCCCTGCTGTCCACTGCTGACCGAGACCACCACTCCGCCTCCCTCCCAGGCTCTGGCACACTGCACTTCACTGAGCTTACCTCAGGGTTCACAGACACGCTTTTCTTGCCCACTTCCACCTTACTCCTCTCCTGATTTTAGTTCCTTATCAGTGTGACCCCCTCTGGAGGCCCAGACAGGAAAGTTCTACCTGCTCTAACGCTGGACCCATCCCTGCAGGCATTACCTTCAGCCAGGGTGAGTGATGGAGGACTCTGAGGAGGTTTGCTCGGTCCACTCTTGCAGACCTGGGCTTGGGGAAGCAGAGCGTGGAAGAGTGTATCCAGGAGGAGGTGGGCTGCCTGGAGGAGGAGTTGGAAAAGATGTGAGGTGAGAGCTGGGGGACTGGGGAGAGTTACACATGAGTGTGCACAGACAGTTTTGTCAGAGGATGGCATGGTAACATGAGGGATCAAGCCTGACTGGCAAGCTGAATAGAGTATCCTGTGCCCACGGGGAGATAGGAGTTTATTTTGGGCATCAGAAGAGAGTGAGATATGGAGAAGGAGACAAGGTCTGATGGGAGGTCTAGCTCCATTTTGGGTTTGTGGGAGACTGATTTAGCCATTCATTCATTCATTGATTCATTCATTCATTCCTCAGCAAATATTTTGAACACCTGTCTTATGTCATGCATTTCTGCAGGTGTTGAGAGTACAGGGATGAACAAGGTAACAGCACTGAGGTGAGGGAGAGGTTGTCTCAGGTCCCTGGGGATCTGACAATAAATTAGTCACACCCAAATGATGTGGATCACCACCTGGCTCCGGCCTGTCAGGCTTTGGATGTTTATTTGAATCTCAGGGGATTTGAAGGGAGCATCAGAGAGGACAGTGTGCCAGAATCACAGTGCAAGGGGCATGGGCTGAGGAAGCCCTTTCATGGAGAGAACAAGTAGGCAGAGGCAGCTAAGAATGAGGATGATAGAGGATGATTCCCAGTTGAAGATGCTGCAGAAGAGAGTATGGGTTCTAGAGCCAGACAAGCAGCCTGTGAATTTTGCTTCTCTGCTAACTAGTGATGTGCTCTTGGACAACTGATGCCATTCCCTGGCCTCTGTTTACTCATCTGTAAAATGAGCATGGTCCTCTCACCCACCACACGGGGCTATTGGGAGGAGGATTGGAGTGAGTTCATGTATGCAGAGCCCTTTAGCACAGCTCATGGAGCACAGGAGTTGACAAATGGAGGCTGCAGCTGTCCTGTGCAAAGGGAGAAGTCACTCAGCATGAGCGGTGGCCTGAGAGACACAAATGCACAGAGATCCTGAGCCAAGTTTCCCCCTTGTACCCCTCGTTTCCTTAGCTACACCAAGGAAGGGGTTGGATTGTCTTTGAGGTTGCTTCCAACTTCTGGAATTCTATTTCAAGGGAAAGGAAAAGATCTCCTTGGGTCTTTAGAAAAACTGAAGGGCGATGGAAGGAGGTGAGACTGCAGAAAGAACTTTCCAATGGAAGTGGCAACCAAGGAGTGGGAAGGATCCTGGCTTGTAGCAGGTCTCTCAGAGGCAAGAAGACTTGGAGGGAGTCAGGGGCCACTCTCTGTAGAGGTAGGGACCCTGGATGACCCTGGAATCTTTTGAATCCTTCCCGTGCCCCTTCAGCGGGGCAGGAAGTGGATCTGGTACACAGGGGGCAGTTTGATCACACCACTCTCCTGAGGTGTAATGTCGATGTCCTTGGGGGCCGCAGGTCTGGCCAAAGAGAAGTTCTGGAGGACAGTGGTGAAGAAAAGGAACAATTCGCTCTGGGGGATGCCTTCACCAAGACAAATGCATTTCCCTGTGGGCACAGAGGTGGGAGAGATCACCAATGTAGGCATGCGGCAGGTGCACATTCAGTGGGGAATCCTTTGTTCTGTCACATACAAAAGCCCAGACACCTATATCCATTGCTAGAGATTTGCATGGAGTTAGCCTTTCATCTGTGGTTCTGGTGGACTTTTGAGGGTTCCTGAGCCCTTTGAAACTGGAGGCAAATCTTTGAGTGGATGTGCCATGTTCATCTTTCCAGGAGAAAGTTGTAGCTTCTATAAGATTCCCAAAGAGGTCAGTGGTCCCAGAGAAGGTGAGGACCCAGTTCTGGCTCTGTGTGTGTGTGTTTGTGTGTGTGTGTGTATGTGTATGCGTGTAGTGCTCCACATGTGTAGAAGTGTGTGTACTTCTGACTTAACATGTTCAATATTCTTCATTTCTAAAATGGAAATAATGTTACCTACCTCATAGGGCTGTCGTAAGGTTAAAGGAAGAAATTAACGTTTATAAAATTACTTAGACTAGCACCTCACCCATATCAAGGACCCTAGAGGTATAACTACCACTTTGTGTGTGCCTCTGAGTTTATGGGGGCAGTAGGTATGGTGTGTTGTGGGTGTCTTTGGCATTGTGTGTGTACCTATGTCTGTCTTCTTTTCTCAGCCTGAGACTCACGGACTCCAAGAATTCTGAAAAACCCCAAATTGTATATAAAATTTTGGGGTGAATGGTGGTGATGCACATGAAGAAGGGGTCCATGGCTTCCGTTGGACTCTCAGAGAGGTAAGGAACCTCCATTAGGTTATAAACTAGGGGTTTGGAGAGAAGTAAGAACAAAGGGAGCCAGAAAATGAAGGCAGAGAAACAGAGTGGCTCTCTCCCTTTACTTATGGGATTCTTAATTTGCAAACTGACCACCTTTAAAAGGTCATATCAAGAATGAGTTTCCAACAAGGAAAAAAAATCATATACATTTAAAGTGAATAACACCTTGCTTAAAAAACACTGGGTAATAGAAGAAATAAAAGAGGGAATGAAAAATTTCCTAGAAACAAATGAGAATGAAAACACATCATACCAAAACCTTTGGGACACAGCAAAGGCAGTGCTCAGAGGTCAATTTATACCAATAGATGCACACATCAAAAAAGAGTAAAGGAACAAAATCAAAACATTAGCTATACAACTCAAACAAATAGAAAGAGATTAGCAAAAGAAGCCCACAGCCACCCGAAGAAAGGAAATAATAAAGATCATACCAGAAATAAATGAAATAGAGAATAGAAAAACAATGGAAAGAATCAACAAAACCAAAAGTTGGTTCTTTGAAAGGATCAAGAAAATCAACAAGCCGTTGGCCAAATTGACATAAGAAAAACAGGAGAAGATGCAAATAATGCAAATAAGAAATGAAATGGGGGACATTAAAACAGACCCAACTGAAATAAAAAGGATCATAACTGAGTAGTATGAGAAATTATACTCTAAAAAATTTGAAAATCTAGAGGAAATGGACAAGTTTCTAGAAACACACTACCTATCTAAATTAACACAAACTGATGTCAAAATTCTGAACAGACCCATAACAAGAGAAGAGATTGTAAAAGTAATAAAATAAAACTCCCAACAACAGCGAAAAAACCCTGGCCCAGACGACTTCACTGGAGAGTTCTCCCAAACATTCAGAGGAAGGCTTGCATCAGTACTACTCAAAAAATTTCAGAACATAGCAAAGGAAGGGAGACTTCCAAATTCATTCTGTGAAGCTAGCATAATCCTGATACCAAAACCAGGCAAAGACACCAGAAAAAGAAAAGAAAAGAAAATTACAGATCAATATCTTTCATGAATATAGATGCAAAAATTCTCAACAAAATTCTAGCCAATAGAATTCAGCATCATCAAACAATACACGCCAACCAAGGGGTATTCATATCTGGTATGCAAGGATGGTTCCACATTAGAAAATCAATCAACATAATCTCCCAATAAATAAAACAAAAGAATCACATGATCATCTCTATCGACACAGAAAAGGCATTCGATAAAGGCTAAAGAAAACTACAAAACACTACTGCAAGAAACCAAAAGAGACCTAGATAAATGAAAAAACATACCATGCTCATGAATAGGTAGACTCAACATTGTGAAAGTGTCAATTCTACCCAAAGCAATCTACAAATACAATGCAATACCGATCCTAATACCAACAGCATTTTTTAATGATATGGAAAAACTAATCATTAACTTTATATGGAAAGGAAAGAGGCCCCAGATAAGTAAAACACTATTGAAGAAGAAGAATAAAGTAGGAGGCCTCTTACCACCTGATCTCAGAACCTACTATACAGCTATGGTAGTCAAAACAGCCTGGTAGTGGTACAATGGCAGACATATTGACCAATGGAACAGAATTGAAAATCCAGATGTAAATCCATCCACCTGTGGTCACTTGATCTTCAACAAAGGCCCGAAGTCCATTGAATGGGAAAAGCCAAACTGTGCTGGCAAAACTGGGTGTTCACCTTTAAAAAAATGAAACAGGACCCATGCCTCACGCCATACACTAAAAATAATTCAAAATGAATTAAAGATCTAAATATAAAACCAAAAACTATAAAGATCATAGGAGAAAAGATAGGGTCAGCCCTATAGGCCGTAATACACAGCATTAACACGATACAAACCATAACTAACAATACATAAACTCCAGAAGATAAGCTAGATAACTGGGATCTTCTAAAAATTAAACACTTCTACTCATCAAAAGATTTCACCAAAACAGTGAAAAGAGAAGCTAAAGATGGGAAAAAAAATTTTGGCTATGACATATCTGACAAAGGTCTAATCTCTAAAATCTATGGGAACATCCAACACCTCTACAACAAAAAGGCAAATAATCCAATTAAAAAATGGGCAGAGAATATGTACAGACACTTCACCAAAGAAGACATTCAGGCAGCTAACAGACAATGAGGAAATGCTTGGGATCACTAGCCATTAGAGAAATGCAGATCAGAACTACAATGTGATACCATCTCACCCCAACAATACTGGCATTAATAAAAAAAAAACCCAAAAAACAGAAAATAACAAATCTTGGAGACTCTGCAGGGAGATTGGAACTCTTATGCACTGCTGGTGGGAATGCAAAATCGTACAACCATTTTGGAAAATTATATGGCACTTTCTTAAAAAGGTAGAAATAGAAATACCATATGATCCAGCAATTCCACTCCTAGGAATATACCCTAGAGAAATAAGAGCCTTCACATGGATAGACGTATACATACTCATGTTCATTGCAGCATTATTCATAATAGGAAAAAGATGGAAACAACCTAACTGCCCATCAACAGATGAATGGATGAATAAACGATGATACACACACACAATGGAATACTATGCCATGATAAAGCACAATGATGAATCTGCGAAACATCTCACAACATGGATGAATCTGCAGGGCATTATGTTGAGTGAAAATAAGTCAATCACAAAAGGACAAATACTGTATGAGACTACCGCTATAAAAACTCATGAAAAGGTGACAAGAAACAATCTTTGATGATTACTAGGGAGGGGAGAGGTGGAGATGGAAAAACACTGACTAGACAGTAGATTAGTGGTAACTTTGGTGAAGGATAAGCCAGTACATAATACTCGAGAAGTCAGCACAACTTGACTAAGGTAAGGTCATGGAAGCCTTATAGACACATCCAAACTCCCTGAGGGACCGAATTACTGGGCTGAGGCTTGGGGACCATAGTTTCGAGGGATATCTAGCTCAATTGGCATAGTTTCTAAAGATCATGTTCTACTTCCTACTTTGGTGAGTAGTGTCTAGGGTCTTAAAAGCTTATGAGTGGCCATCTAAGATATTCCACTGGTCCCAACCCATCTGGAGCAAGGGAGAATGAAGAAAACCAAAGACACAAAGGAAAGATTAGTCCAAAGGACTAATGGACCACAACTACCACAGCCTTCACCAGACTGAGTCCAGCACAACTAAATGGTGCCCAGCTACCACCACTGACTGCTCTGACAGGAATCACTATAGAGGGTCCTGGACGGAGTTGGAGAAAAAAATACAACAAAATTCTAACTCACAAAAAAAGACCAGACTTACTGGTCTGACAGAGACTGGAGAAATCCTAAGAGTATGACTCCCCGACACCCTTTTAACTCAGTACCGAAGCCACTCCTGAGGTTCACCCTTCAGCCAAAATTATACAGGTCCATAAAACAAAATGAGACTAAATGGGCAGACCAGCCCAGGGACAAGGAGGACAAGGCAGGAGGGGACAGGAAAGCTGATAATGGGGAACTCTAGGTCAAGAAGGGGAGAGTGTTGACATGTGGTGTTGGCAACCAATGTCACAAAACAATATGTGTATTAATTGTTTAATGAGAAACTAATTTGCTCTGTAAAAAAAAATAAAATTTACCAGAAATCCCAAATAATAGTGATCTTAAGAAATCACAGAGGAAGAACACTAAAAGTCAACAGAGCTGTAGGATGAATTTCATATCAATATATTGAGCAGAGGTTAAAGTATCATGTATTTTCTTTACTGCAATGTTTAACGAGTAAAGTACGATTGAGTAAAACAAACAACAACAACAAAAAAGAATAGATTTCTAGGAATTTCCAAGGCCTTTCAAATTCTTGGAAAATTATGCCTGCATGGTAATCTAGGGAAGGATCCACATCTTTCTGGCCAATTCTTAAAAGAGGTGGGAGCCTAGAAATGCTCAGGGCGAGTCTCGGGCTGGTTCTTCTGTAACTGGTTCTGTGACCCAACTCTTCCCAGGACAAGCTGACAGGCTAATGCCTGCTGCCTCCCTCCCAACGTGCCCTTCCCATCCCTGGGGCTGTCCTACTGGCTCCTTCTTAACACGCTTTGGCTCCAGTTATTTTATTTCTGCCCGTGGCAGTCTGACTCTCTGTCTTTTCCTTCATCTATACATGTCAGGACTGTTTATCTGTTTCTGTTCACTCTTTCTGCTCTCTTCTCCCATTTGTTGAGCTCCCTGCTTCTATCAGATTCACTCTGTCTCTCTTTTCATCTCCCTCTGAAGGTCTCCTGTCTCTTGTTCACTGTTTCTCTCTCTACTATGTCATTCTCTTCTTTCTCTGTAGCTCTAATTCTGTTTCTCTTACTCTGCTTGCACCTCTTTCTCCTCTTCCCTCCTCCCCTTCCTCCTTCTCTAGCTCTCTCATTCATTGCCCTCAAAGTCTATTGTTTCACATTCATTCTTTGTATTTTTCTATCTCTGCCTCTTTCTGCCACTCTCTCACCTTGTCTGTGTCTGTCTCTCTCATCATGTGTCTCTCTTTGTCCCTCTCTGTTTCTCACTCTCCTTATTGCTCCATCCCCAATCTGTTTTTAACTTTATTCCTCTACATCTCTGTCTCTCTATAAACTTAGGATAGGACTATTGGATGGAGAGATCGACCCTCATCCCACCTCCCAATATGTTGTCTGACTTTCATTTAAGATGAAATGAAGGGAGGCCATTGGCACTAGGCAGGGCCAGGGTCTGGGCCACTGAAGTCTCTGATGAAAGTCAAAACTGGGGACTTGTTTCTGGGGTCTTCCTTTCTCCCAAAGGATAACAACCCTGGGCATTGGGATTTTCACTGGATGGGGTCAAAGAGTGGATGGGGTCAGAGACAAATCAGAGCCTGTCAGCCTCTTCCCAGTCTCCCCAGTGCCCACTGAATAAATCCTTATTCCTCCCCCAGCCTTCAAAATGCTGCCCAGCTGAGCTCTTTGCCCTAATCCCATCCTGTAAACTATACGTTAGGCCCACTGGATTTCTTATAGTTTCTCAAACATACCATGCCATTTCCACCTTCAGACCCTCGCTGTTCTCTCTGCCTGGAACATTCTTTCAGTGGTTGACTAATATTCGCCTATGAGGTTTTAGTTTAGATGCCAGTTCCTTAGACAAGCTTTCCCTTACGGGCCCCTAAGATTAGTCAGTATTTCCTGCTTTGTGCTGCCAAAGCCTGCAGCTGGACTGTGAATTTCCAGGAGTGAGGATTTTGTCTGTCTACATGACTTGTCTCATGCATTATATTCAGTATCTAATAGAGCATTGGGTTTAGAATTGTGATCAACAGATATGTTTTGGAGCAAATATATACACTGAGGTTTAAAAAAAACAGTTGTCACCAAGTCATCTCTAATTCATGGTGACCTCATGTGTGTCACAGTAAAACTGCTCCGTAGGGTTTTCATTGGAGCATTTTTCGGAAGTAGATCTCCAGACCTTTCTTCTGAGATGCCTTTGGGTGGACTCAATCCTCCAACCTTTTGGTTAGCAGCCAAATGCTAACCATTTTCATCACCCAGGGAGAGGTTAAAATACTTGCTCAGAGTCTTGCTTACCAAGATGTGTGTGTCTTTGGGACACAATCTCATATCCCAAGCTCCCTCTAAGATTGTAGTGAAAATGGAATGGGATAATGCAGGTAACTAGCATCTAATAGGTGTTCAGTAAATGGCCTATCATTGTTTATCTAGAAAAAAGGATGGAACCTGCACTCTGGTGTCTGGGGAAAGGAGCGGGGTCCATCTTACCTATGGAGAAGGGCATAAAAGCTTCATTCTTCTTCAGAGCCCCATTGGCATCCAGAAAGTGGTCAGGGTTGAAGTCACCTGGTTTTTCAAAGTAATGTGGGTCGTAGAGAGCAGTGCTCAGGATGGGGACTACCTCAGTGCCCTGAGGGAGGGGCAGGAGAAACTGATCCAAAGATTTCACTACCCCTGTGTCCCCACCCAAGAAAAACAACAAGAAGGGAACCATAGTCATAGAAGTGATCAAGTGTTGTGATTAAGAGAACCCAGGATGCCCACACAGGAGAGATTCAGGAACCCAGTTGGTTTCGCCTTGGGGATGGTGTGCCCTCGGAAGTGAGTGTCTTTGGTGACCGTGTGGGGCAAGCTAACGGGGAGAAGGTCTGCGAATCTCTGAATCTCGTGGATGACTGCATCGGTGTATGGCATTTTGGCTCCGTCCTCGAGAGCAGGAGGGCGATGTGAGCCAATTACATCATCAATCTCCTCATGGACTTTCTGTGTACCGAAGAAGGGACCAGTGAATCCCTGATTCACTTCATTGAAGCAGGCATTTCAAAGAGGCATTTCAGTGGGGACACTGCTTTCTATGGGTCAATAAACCAGAGAAAATCTACAGTAAAGGGTTAGAGCATTGACATCCCTCAGAGCAATCAGCTGGAGAGAGGGCGGAGGAGGGAAGAAATTATGGATTCTCTCCTCACATGCACAAGTATACACACACACATACACACATGCACACATACACATAGGCATGTCTTCAATCTAAAAGGAAATCACTATTGACTTTCCCTTGTGGGTAAATATTCTTGTGGAATCAAGATTATCTGTAGAAGAGCTTTTTGTAAAAATTCTCCCTCTAAGATTAGTAGAAAACCAACTAATATTTATTGCATGTGTATTATATGTGAGGCACTGTCCAAGGTCCTCAGGGGTATAACAGTGGAACAGATGAACAGATTAATTATTGAATAGTCAAATAAATAAGTGAATAAATACATCAATCAATCAATCTGTGGATGAATTTATTCATGATTGGAAAGACTGATGAGTGAACAAGCCAATAAATGGATTATATATTCATGTATCAATCAATAGATCAATTAATAACTCGTGATTAATAAAAGATCCATAGACAAATAAAACAATGAACCCAATGAATGAATAACTCAGAAGAATCAATGGATGGATCCATTAATGGAGGAATAAATGAATAAATTAGTGAATAAATGGGTATATAAACAAATAAATGAATGGGTGGGTTGAATGATAGATTAATAAATTAACGAATGCATGAATAAATAAATTAGTGACTTATTAAGTGGATAAATGAAATAATGGATGGATGGATGGAAGATGAAATGAAAGAATGATTGATGGAATGATTAAGGAATAAAACATAATTCGTAGATGAATGGATGAGTCGATCTATAAGTGACTGAGGATGAAACCACTGAGACAAGAGATCGGTAGATTATCCATCAATTAACAGGGCTGGCTTAAAAAGACAAACAAACAAACAAAAAACCCGTTGCCAGCGAGTACGACTCATAGCACCCTATAGGACATAGTAGAACTGCCCCATAGAGTTTCCAAGGAGTGGCTGGTGGATTTGAACTGCCGATCTTTTAGCCAGCAGCCATAGCCCTTATCCACTACACCAACAGCGTTTCCGAGGGATGGTTTACTTGGAAACTATTCCAAAGCCACAGCGCCCCTAAGGTCAGAAACCAGCGCTGCTTCAGTTATCCACACAGGACCCCTAGTTCCATTTCTGCAGCCCAATGAGAGGTCAGAAGATCGCTCTGGGATCGTCTGTCCCTGCTCTGTCCACCTGCGATGTGGAGGTATTTGAGCATGAGCAGACATCCGTAGCGGAGAGTGGTGCTGGTGATCTCAGGGCCAGCGAAGAAGAGCGAGAGCTCAGTGAGGATGAGGTTCTGGAGACGGAACTCGGTGTCCGGGTTGGAATTCTCCTGGGGCGGGAGGGCAGGACTCAAGTCAATGGAGGCTGGTACCTCACCGCACACACGTCTCTGGGCGCCCTCCACCTGTTTCTGGGCCTCTCCTACTGTCTGGCCCCCTTTGCTTTGTGTTATGTGTCCAGCAGTCTCTGTCCGTGTCTCTCTCAGTCTCTTTTCTCTTTGTCTTGCTCTGTTTCTATCTTTCCATCCTTTTGGCAAGTTGATCTTGTCTCCCAACCTCTCTTTCTCTTCATTTCCATCTCAGTTTCTCCTCCCTACCTTCTACATTTCATCTCCATCTCTTTCCCTTCCGCATTTCCCCTCCTCCCCTTTGCTCTTCTCCCCTCAGCAACCTCTGTTCTTGAGTCTCCCCCTCCACACACTCCCACTCTTTTCCTTTCCCCTCACTTCTCACCTCCCACCTTCTCCTCCCCTTCCCTCCCTCTCTCCCGGATCCCACTTTGTCCAGGCGGAGCAGGTAGGTATTGATGAAGTCCCGGGGAGCGCTGGGGTCCAGGGTTTCGCGGTGCTTCTCCAGGCTGAGGTCGATGAAGGCGTTGACTTCCTGCGTGTTTTTGTAGATTTGCCGGTGTGGGCCAGGAAAGCGCTTCAGGAAGTCCCGGGAGAGCTCGAGCACCTGAGAGAAAGGAGTGGCTGTGATGTGAGGTCCACCTGAGGCTGAGCTAGTGGGTCACAGGGAAAGGGCGGCCCTCCTCATTCCTAACACCTCCGCGAGGAATCTCTCTCTCTCCAGAGAGAGATGATACAGAGATATAGAGATAGAGATAGACCAGAGAGAGAGAATACAGAGATTTAGAGATAGAGATCTGTCTCTCATTTAGCCTCTACCTTTTGACTCCAGCTCTTTGTATCTGCGGTCTGGCTCTGTCTCTTCATGTCCTTCTACATCTTTGTCTTCCCTCTCTTTCTCTCTCCCTCTTCCTTACAATGGGTGTGTTCTTTCATCTGTCTATTATTGATCAGTTGATCAGTCCATTGATCTGAGCCCCTCACTCTGATTCTTTGTCTCCATTGATCTGTAATCCTCATATTTTTCTCTTTCTGCATCTTCCTACCTCACCCACATTTGTTTTTGTGTGCCCCACCTCTCTGTCTCCTTTTCCACCTCTCTTTCTCCCTGAGTGTCTTGGTTCCAACTCTCCCTGTGTCTCATTGTCTACCTCAGCCTGTGTAACTGTTTTTCTCCGACTTCTCTCTGCCTCTTTCCACTCTCTGTGTCTCTCTAGCTGGGTCATGCATTGATGAACTGGGGGCTTGCACAAGATAATCCTGCTGACTACTTGAAACTATTTATTTATTTTGGAGCATATTTCTACTGCTTTACCTGATGATAAGTGTAGCTAATAATTGCCCCCAAATGCAGAAATGTATAGAGTAAGATGTAAACTTCGTCCTTAATCTCTCCTTTTAGAGAAAATCATTGTTAACTATTTGGTGGGTCTCCTTCCAGATTTCTCTGTCTCTCTTTATGTTCTCAGTGGGAGGAGCACATTGGGATCACCTATTGTGCTTGTCTCAGGTTCTTAACCTGGACCCCAACCCAGACTTGCTGGGTCAGAGCCCCCAGCTGGAGGTCCTGGAACCTGTATTTGTGACAATCCCATACTTGCATCTGATATACACCGCTGGTTAAGAACGATAGCTACGCAGTTTAATTTTTTTTTTTTTTAGAGTTGTAGAAAAGTAGTGGTAACACAAGATTTGCCTATTCAACGTTTGTGGCTGGTACAGTTCAATAAAACCAATTGCACCAGTCATGTTGTGCAACCACCACCAATATCAATTGGCATATTTTCCATCCCCATAAACAAAAAACTCAATGCTAGCTAAACACAATTTAATTTTTAAATTATACAATGGATGTATATCCAGGTTAGTTAATAAGATGAAATTTTGTTATATTGTTTTAAAGAGGAACATATTGCTTTATAATCTGGATGCGGGGAGGTTTTAAAAAAACGACAACAGAAAGATGGAGAAGGAGAAATGGGAAGCAAAGAAGAAATGGGGTTTCTTATTTTCATGTATCCTTAAATTTCTTCAGGTGAGGGAAGGGCTTTGTCAAAGACAGAGAGACAAAGATTCAGAGCCAGAGGGTGGTCAGATAAGTAAAGACTTTGGATTTCTGATTCTCTCTCTCATTCTTTTCAACTCTGCCTCTCAGGATCTCTTTATCTCTGCCCTTCTTTGTCTTGCTTTCTCTCTGTCTTCTCTCATTTCCTCTTCTCCTCTATCTCTCTTCCAAGTCCTCTTAATTTTTAGTCCTTCTCTCTCTCTGACTCTGGTGACCCCCAGGTGGTGCACATGGTTAATGTACTCGGCTCCTAACTGAAATGTTGGTGGTTCAAGTCCTCCCCGTGGTGCCTCAAAAGAATAGCCTGGTGATCTACTTCTGAAAAATCAGCCACTGAAAACTCCATAGAGCACAGTTATGCTCTGATACACATGGGGTCACCGTGAGTTGGAACTGACTCAACCGCAACTGCTTTGGGAGTCCCTGGGTGGTACAAATGGTTAATGAGCATGGCTGCTAACCAAAAAGTTGGAAGTTCAAGTCCACCCAGAGGTGCCTCAAAAAACAGTCCTAGTAATCTACTTCTGAAAAATCATACACTAAAAAACCCATGGCGCGCAGTTCTGCTCTGACACACATGGGGTCGACATGAGTTCAAGTTGACTCCATGACAATTGTTTTTTTCTCTCTGACTCTATGTCTATTTCTATCTCCTCCGTCATTTCCCCTTCTTTCTCTTAGTCTCTCATTCCCTGCCTCGCAGTATTTCCCTCTCTCTAGGCCTCCATGCCTCTCTCTCTGTGTTGTCTCAGCCCATCTCCCAGCCCTACACTGCATTTCTGGACCCCAAAAGCAGACCGTTCCTATCCCTGCCCTGGATGCTTGTCTCACTGCCTGACCTGGCTGGAGAAGAAGCTGATAAGTGTGAAAGACTGGTAGAACAAATCCAGCAGCCGCAGGAACTGGGGATCTTTGTAGGCAAAGCGTTCTCCAAAGACAATAGAGTAGATGATGTTGGCAGTGGTGGCATGGAAGAAGAAGGTGGGGTCCAGGAGGGCTTCTAGGAGGAGGAGGGTCAGGTCAGGGGACAAGAATTCAGGGTCGGGGGCAGGCATTTACCTGTTGCCCTGTCTCTGTGTAACTGTCCTCCACTGCTCTGGAACGATAACAATAACATCTAACACTCACTAGCTCTTATCATGCACCCACCCCTATTCTAAGCACTTCACCCATTATTTAATTCTCACCAAAACCTGTGACAAAGACTCAGTTCTATTAATATTTCCATTTTATAAATGGGCAGACAGAGAGGTTAAGTCATTTGACCAAGTTTGTACAGCTACTAATTGCTGAGGCTAGCATTCAGACCTAGACAACCTAGTGACAGAATGCTTGCTGTTGGTCCTTACCCTCCATCTCCTCGAAGACCTCAGCTCTGTGAACCTCTACTTAACTCTGAATAAGTGAAGTCCCAGGGGCAGAAGGTGACACAAAGTGGGTGTTCAATTGATTACTTGTGCAAATTACAAAGTCCTGATCCTTCTATCCCTGTCTATGAGTCCACCTTCACCTCCTCTCCCCACCTCTAGGGCCCTCTGGTCTTCACTTGTCTGTTGATTCCTATATTGGCCAGGTTCTGCCCAGTTCCTGGTTGAAGGGGATGGTGGTGGGCTGGGAGCCCAAGAATATCCAGTTGGTGTAGCCTCTCTCTCTCTGGGTCTCACCTTGTCTGTCTTACCTTGTTTGTCTCTGTAGACCTTTTCCTGAGCCTTGTGTCTGTCTGTCCGTCTAATATTTTTTTACTGTGGTAACAAAACAGTTGCCATGTCAACATTCTTCACATGTATAGTTGAGTGACATTACCTGATGTTCATCATGTTGTTCACCACCACCCATATCTGTTCCTAAATTTTTTCATCACCCTTAACAGAACCTCAGTTCTGCTTTACCTCTCCCTCTGCCCACCCCTGGTGAGCACTAATAAACTTTTGTCATATATACTTGTCTAGTCCAGGTATTTCATGTAAGTGGGATCATACAGTAGTTGTCCTATCATTTTACACCCCTTTATACACTCTATTCCCCTATGTCTTTCTCTCTGTCTCTATCTGATAGTCTCTCGGTCTCCATCTTTCTCCATCTCTACCTCTGTTTATCTGCCCACATATACATCTCTGTCTTTCTATTGCTATGCACCCCATATCTCTCTCTGTTTCACTGTCTTTCTTCCCTACCCATCTCTCTGTCCGGGTCACCCAGGGATTTCCGCAGCTCCTCCACCAGACACTGAGCCTCCTCCTGGATACACTCCTCCACGCTCCGCTTTCCCATCCCGAAGTCCCTCATGGTGGCCAGAGAGAATCGCCGGAGGGTCTTCCAGCAGTTCCCATTGGTAAAGATGACACCTGGCGTAGTGGGTAAGGCGGGGATTGCAGAGGAATTTGGAAGGAGATGCTGAGCCTCTCTGTACCCCTTGTCTTCCCTTGCCAGACTCATCCTACCAATTCTCATCCTCCACTCCACCCCTCAGTGCCTTTGAGGCTCTCACCGTATCCCTGGAAGGATTGCTCAATGGAGGCGATTTTCCTCCTGCCAGAGAAGGCGTCGGTTTGGTCCACCAGGGCCTCCCGAATGACCTCTGTCCCACACAGCATGACCACAGGCTTCAGCCCCAGGTACACCGTGAACACATCCCTGTATTTCTCTCGGAGCTGCCAAGCATACCCACACCCAGGATTGCTAATTAGTCACCGTGCATCTCTATATCTGTAAAAACAAACAAACAAACAAAGTTGCTGTAGAGTCAGTTCTGACTCACGGTGACCAAATGTGTGTCAGAGTAGAACTGTGTTCCATAGGGTTTTCAATGGCTGATTTTTTGGAAGTAGATCACTGGGCCTTTCTTCTAAAGCACCTCTGGGTGGATTCAAACCTCTAACCTTTCAGTTAGCAGCCAAGAATGTTAACCATTTGCAGCACTTCAAGACTCCTAAATCATGAAAATACCACTTACATATAGGTTGGTAATGAGTCACTGCCCCACGAAGCTTCTCCCTGGAATGCTCTTCCCCCTTCTCAGGACCCACAAGACCTCCCCAGGAACCAGCAACTAAAGGGTTAATCCTTGGCGCAGCCAGGGTCTGCTGTGTTTGATTGATGCCAGAAACAATACAGATGGTTAAGTATTTCTAATATCACCCCTGCCCATACCCTTGAACTTGACTATATCTCCCTGGGATCACAACTTAAAAACCATGTTTCTTGTGAACCAACCTGCTATCTGCCTGCTGACAGTTCCCGCAGAGAACAACCCTCAACTACCCACTTTCTAGACAAGAAGGCAAAGTACAGCCCTCTGGTGGTGATCATGAAATATGAAAAATCCTATCAGTGCAACTGATTGGGAAACTGCTTGATTGCATTTACTGAGGTTGAAAGGACATATGCATACTCAATGACCCAACAATTTCATTCCTAGATGCATGCCCAATGGAAATGTGAACATGTGGTCACCAAAAAAAAATCAACAAGGACAGTCATAGAAGCCTTATTATTAAAGTGCTCATCAACACCGAGATGGAATCAATGCATAAATAGTGATGTACTTATACAAGGGAATACTATACAGCAAACAAAAAGAACAAACTGCTGCTATACACAACATGGATGACTCAAACAGACGTAATGTTGAGTGAAAGCAACGAGACATGAAAGAGTCCAAACTTCCTAATTCTATTTATATGAAGTTCAAAAACAGGCAAAACTAATCTATGGTATCAGAATAGCGCGGGGGATAGTGGCTGAAAAAGGTTGTGAGTGGGCCAATCATGTTCTCTTTCTTGCTGTATGTGTCAATTACATGGGTGTGTTCAGTTTGTGACTATTTACTGAGCTGTGCACTTAAGAGCTGTGCAATTTTTAGGAGACGTTAAACTTCTATAAAAAATGGACGTAAAATCATAAAAACTGTTCAGTTGACTTAGAAATCTCTCATATTGATCTCTGCATAACCTCTTCATTGGTCTCTCTACTCTCATTCTTGTTTCCTCTACAGTCATTTCATTCCCTGAACCCAGAATAATCCTATTAAAATACAAATTAGTTAATATTCCTAACTTGCTCCACAAGCTCCAATGCTCCCATGCACTTCAAATAAAATCTGAGGTCTCCAGCATGGGCCAGGTGGCCCTACATGACCTGGCCCCCTTACCCCTCTGACTTCCTCTCTTGCTTGTTTCCTCACTGACTCCGATTTGGCCTCCATTGTTCCTACAAAATGCTGAGCTCGCTCCTGCTTTGGGGTTTTTCAGTGACACCTGCCTCTCTCTGATGCCCTTCATCTGTACCATTCAAGGTCTCAGAAACACAGCAAGGCAGTCTTTCCCTGATAATTCAATCTTAAGTAGCTGCAACAACTGTCTAAAAGTTCACCCTGCTTTATTTTAATCATAGTTCTTACCTAGTTAGTGTTCCCTTACTTGTTTATTTTTTATCTTTCTGTCACAGTAGAATGTCCATGACCATAACAACCTTGTTTGCCTTGTCCGATGCCATGTAGTCAATACAAAGAATAGTTCCTGGCACACAGAAGGTGCTCAGTTAATTAGTATTGAAAGAATGAATAAGTGGATCAAAGTAGCTTCCATTTAATGAGCATTTACTATACAACAGGCTCTATGCAATATCCTATTTAATCCTCATAGGAACCTTGTGAAGCACACGTCCTTAGTGTCATCATCCCATGTTACAAAAGAGGAAACTGAGACTCAGAGTGTAAGAGTTGAATCTGAGACTAGAATCCATACCTGCCTGACTATAAAAGGGTTTGGGAACTTATCAGGGAATGATGGAGGGGCAGTTCCACCATCCCCATCTCATCTCACCATTTCTCTCTTTCCCTCTCCTTAAAGATACAATGGTAATGGAGGATTGTGGAGACCTAGAGGGTCCTTGGAAGAGTTTCAAGGAGGCCTGTGAACCCTCAAAATTATATGCATAAATGTGTATGCATATTTGGGGAGCAGCCACAGCTTTAATCAAATTCTTAAAGGATTTATTGATCCCGAAATTGTTAAACAGCTTTAATCTATGAGAACACTGGAGATAAGCAGATCTCCCCATTGGATCCCAGCTCCACCTCCTGCCAACTGTGTAATTGTCTTTCCCACACTTGTTCTCACTGCCCTTACCTCTAACATGGGGATAGCTCCTCACCTAGCCCACCGGGTTGTTGTAAAGGAGGCCTGATGAACTCCTGCCCAAATACAGATGAATCCTAGCCATATAATTCTGAGTGAAAAACTAAGTGTAGGAGATCATATAAAACACTCTTTCAATACATTGAAAACAACTAAATCTAAATAATATGTACTTGAGACATCCACATATGTGGTAAAAATTTCTCTCTAAAAAGTAAAGAAAAGAAGAAAATAACAATTAGAGTATAATAAATAAAATAGAGACTAGAAAAACAACAGAGAGAACCATCAAAACCAAAAGCTGGTTCCCTGAAAACATCAATAAAATAGATGAACCTGTAGCTAGACTAGCAAAGAAAAAAAAAAAAAAGAATGAGAGAGAGAGAAGATGCAAATAAGCAAAATCAGAAGTAAATGTGGGGATATTACTACTGATCAAACAGAAATAGAAAGGTTAAAAAGAGAATATTGTTAACAATGGTACACCATCTAATTAGATAATGAAGATGAAATGGATAAACACCTAGAAACACCCAGATTACCTAAATTGACTCACGATGAAATAGAAACTCTCAATTGGCCTACATCAAGTGAAGAGATTGAACCAGTAATCCAAAACGTCCCACAAAGAATAATCGGGACCAGATGACTTCACTAGAGAATTCTACCAAACATTTACAGAAAAAACTAAAACTAAAGGGATGATAAGTCCAAGATTCAGTCATGTGGTAGCCAAAGTGAAGGAGCAGAGGAATACAGGGTAGCTGAAGTTACTGTCAGTATTGTAGTTTTCTTATGGAGTGGAGGGTCCATGGATGTTAATTGCATTATTAATAAATAAATGCATAATTAAAATGAAATCATGGGTAGAAAACAGTGATTGGGAGCCTATTAAATCTTGCACAAGTGCCAGCTGCTATTATAGTGCATTATGTTCCTTACTGATAAGCACTCCATACTCAGCCTCCCAGCAGTCCTTATCTACCCTTTCTGCTCACCACCCCTCTTCCTCATTCTCCTAGCACTGACATGAACCTGCCTTTGGTGCCTCTTCCTTTTTCTTTCTCTACAAGTGGCAGGCAGGCACCTAGGGACTCTACAGAGGGGGGCAGGGAAGAGTGAAATTCTACACTGTGGCTCACACTTAGACACCTTTTCATAACCATTTGCCCCTCCAAGGACAATGCCTACCCACTTGCAATGGAGCAGGAAGGCCTTCTTACAAAATGACCACAATCTGCCATGCTTCATCTCCATGCAACTTACATACCAACCTTCACACAGTCCACCCCATAGCCTGGAAGGATACCCCACTCTTACTTATGGACCCTTGAGTGATCCCCAAGTACTGAGGCAGGGTCCAGTCCACCATCTGACCCCGTCCATCTTAATCTCACCTTCAGGAATGATTTGAGTAGACCTCTTCTGTCCTTCTGCAGAAGGTTCCCCAACAAGGGCAGAAGATGGGGGCCAGGTGGGAGGTGGCCCTGGGCCTTTGGGTGGCCCCTGGCCAGGAGAAGTAAGAAGCCTGTGAAGAGAGCCAGGAGGAGGAGGACGCTGAGCTCCACGGTCCTAGTCTGAGTGTCTTCCAACTCACTGCAGCCTCCAGCTGGGCCTTTTATCTGAACTTGCCTCCCCACCCAACTATGTAATGCCATTCATTCCAGTCTCCCCTGGCACCATTGTCCAGGAGTGTGAGCTTAGAAGAGGTGCTAGGGGATCCACACTTCCTGCTTGTGCTGCCTGGTGACCTGCCACTCCCTCCTCTTTCACCCCTTCTCTAGGTGGCAGGAGCCCTGTGGCAGAGAGACCAAGGTCCAGATGAAAATGTGCGCGTGTTTATTTTTGAGGGATTGGATGATCATGCACTTGTTGGTTGGTTTTGCCTGTGTTTGCATATTCATGCCTGCATGCACTTTTCCATGCTTATTTGCTCTGTGTGTGCATGTATGATTTTTATATGTGAATGGTGTCAGTATTTACGAAAATGTAAAGGTGTGTGTTTCTGTGTATGAGTCTGGGTGTGCTTGTGTGTATGCTCTTGCATGTCTATGGACTCATGTATATTTATATGATTTTAGATGGAAAGGTGTGCTTGCACCGGGGTGGTGGGTAGTGTGGCTTCCAGGGGGTGAATCCGGGGATGCTTGTGTGTTTTTATATTGTGTGTGCCTGCTTGCATTTGTCTGCATGCTTCTATGTGCTTGCATGGTTTCATATAGGAAGATGTGTTTGTATTTGCATGGTGGTGGTGGTGTATGTCCCCATGTGTAAGTCTACGTGCGCTTGTTGTGTGTGTGTGTGCATCTCAGGTACCTGTCTTTGTACAGCCTGCAGATACTCAGGGTCTATCTTTCCAGTCCCCTCTCTCACTACAGCCAGAGTGATGGGAGAAACCAAGGGAAGGGTGAGAGACACAGAAGTGGTGAAACAAAGAGACAGAGGTCTTGGGTGGAGAGAGACAGAGACCTGGCAGGTAGAGTGATCAGATGCTTCTCAGCGTCTTTGATCAT